TGGATGGATGACCAACATATACAAAACCCGGGACGGATGCACCCAGTGATCTTTTCTTTTTTTTCTTTATAACTGAGGAAAATTCAAATATATGTTTTGAGTAATCTCGAAGTGAGTTTGAGATCTCAGCTACCAATGTAATATTGAAAGTATCTGAACTATTTTTTTCATAAATAAGAACAACTTTTTGGTTGATGCATTCGATACTTTCAAGAGTTTTGTTTCCAAGCGACGTAAAGACAAGCCATGGATAAGTGGTAAATTACTTTCCTTGCTAAATAAAAAGAAAGCAAAAACGACGTTCGTACCAGAAATATAGCAGACTTAAGAACAATCGCGCTAGTTTTAGACTAGAAAGTTTACTCAAACAATATTAAAATAAATCTGGAGGATCTAAAACAAAACTTCAGTCTTGTTTGCTATACGTCTATACCACGCTTTCTGTTTTTCCCCTCAGGCTCTCGGGTGGAGGTGGTGCTGGTATGTACAAGTTTTCATTACTCAATCGAATGTCAAATAGTGAAGCTGGAAATCTTCCTAGGTGGAAATAAGATCATTTACGACATTTGCAAACCACTGATTGGCTGGTAACACGGGTCATATATAAGCCACCGTAAAAACAAAACAAACAAAAACTGGTTTTAGTTTTGAATACTTTTATTTGGAATATTGAAATATGCATATCGCAAAGAAATATCTGCACTAAACAGGTTCTCATTCGCGCGTCGAATAGATTGTGTCAATATCATTTTTGTAATGAAAACATGTCGTTCATTTCTCGCAATTGACTTCTGCGACAACGCAGTTGACGTAAAATCTGTCTCACACACTTGCGTTTGGTTGCAAAAGAGTGCGTTGTGCAGTCTTGTGACGGCTAGAAACGAGGGAATAGACTGGCGACACCTATTAGATAGCCGTGGAACACCTCGAAGACTTCCGTATATTTACTTATTCTTTCGCTCATCGTTATCTCACCCCGGGCTCGGAAACGGTTTTGACACTATTATTAACCACCATTCCTCGTAGATAGTATGTACATTTAATCCCGCGAATACTGCGAAACCTTCGCTCTGGAGAAACGCAGCTCGAGGGCCACCTTACTGATGGCGACAGCGCGCCAGTAAACTCTCTAAGAAGTCGACTTAAAAAAAATATGAGGTAGCAAATCAAACAACAGAGAGCGTTTGCACATTAATGGCTGACGCCTCCGGCGCCAATTGGTTCCAAGTACGCATGCGTGGCGTTGTTGCGTGGCGTGGGAAAGCTGGAGGAGGCGCCTAAACGCTCGCAGCCGTTCAACGCCTGCGTCGCCTCGTCGCAACACGTATTGGTAACGCGATCCACGAGCCACGTAACAGCGATTCAGCAATTGGAAGCATTCTGAAACCTAGACAGGCTGTGTTTTCTAGCCCTATGTCGTTACAAGAGCGAGTAACCTATAGACCTTTTCATTTTAGTAGTTGCCTCAGCGGCGGATAGAGGGCGCTAATGCACTCGCCGCCATTAGGTTGCTTCAATTTGGTTGGTTTCGGTTTCAACGGGAACGCGGCTATGTTGCTGTTTTACGTTGTTTTTGGCTTAGTTTTGCGATACGTTCATTTTTCTTGTACCACACAACCAATAAAAGCTTTGGTATTAAGCCACTTTGAGGACTACGAGGTGTATTTTAGCCTAAATTGCGTATTTTTATTACCAACTCCTTTGATGTACCTGATTATGGACGGTTGCAAAACGCCTGACTGAGGTACAGGGAAGATTACCATCGTCTACGGCCGTATTCATTGGCACCGGTTTTCAGAAAAAACAAAGTGATGACGAGACTAACACGGGAATGTAAAGAAGCATATCGACAGCTTGGTTAGCAATGTGCTGAATCGGTCAGAACAGATGAACTCGCGAGTTTACTACTCACTGTTTGGTTTTCGAAGGCACCCAAACTTTAGTGAACTTCGCTGAATAAAAACGTGTTGTGTAATGACGCAGATAATTAATATAAACAAGTAATATCGTCCCTGACTCTTTTTTTTTTTTAATTGAGTACTCGAGCATGTTTTGAGAGGCCGAGTAGGAAACTTCTTAAATTATCAACCCTGCTAAACTACTCATAAGCAGCATCTCGCGATATTGGCCCTAGGAAATAAATTATTGTTATATGAACATTTGCTTACTCAAGATATAAGTGACAGGCCCGTCAAATTAAATCTGGCATTTGTCTTCCGAAAATCTGGCCAATTAAAATTAAAGGACGCAGGAAGAGAAATACCTCGGAAAGTTTGGCTGAATTCTAGCGCTAGGCACCACTTCACGGGCCTATGTGAACAAATATATATTTGTTTGTGAACATATTGGCTTTGTAAATTTCGGCGTCGCCAGCCACCAAAAGTAAACCTCCATTCGCCATCGACAATCCTGGATTCAAGTAATTGTCTTGCAGACGGCTCTTTTTTTTTTTTTTTTTCTTTTTCGGCGTCAAATATTACGGATTCCAGGTACTGGCAAAAAATAAAACAACGCACGCAAAAAAAAAAAAGAAACCGTCGTCATTATTGTTTACACGTCGAACCCAAACCGCGTTTTGGATTTGCAAATAGAAACAAACGACGTTATTTCTTAGTGCACGTTTTTTTTTTCTAAAACTCGCTACTGTTAATGACTGTGTCAGTTTCTTGCGCGGGAAGTCCCAATCTTTGTGTTAATATAAATGAAGTGGATTGAACTGGTTATTTAAATATAATCAATAAATCACTTAAATGATTGTTGAAATGGGAGCGAGCACGGCATACAATTATTGAGAACCTCCTACACATGTAGGTGTGATATTATGAACTAATAAATCGCCTGATGTTGACGTACAATTACTTCTAGCCTCAGATAAAATGCAAGTTAAACGTTCGTTGTTCATCTTCTCCGCGAGTTTCCTCACATAATAAAACAAAACTGTTTTCAATATATTATGATTGCAAAGAGGATACTTTCGGGAAGTACAGATAGTCTCCTTGCGCTGACTATTCTTGACTCCTTCCGATCCTCAACGCGCGATATAAATATACGCGCTTCTTACTGAGAATGTTCCGCCACTATTAGTAAACAAACATCAGTTGTCACAAGGACATCTGAGCCCTCGAGATGTCTTAATCGTCGAGTAGACGTATCGGACTACAGTTTCCGAGGTAAGGCAAAAAAGAGCGGCGAAACGCGACGAAAAACACGAATACAACGCGTCCTCCAAGGCGCGGAGGGGAGAGCGGAGTAGCAAGTTGAAGCAACCTAATGGCTGCCGGGTCACGTGTTTTCAAGATGGCAGCGCCCATGCTGAGGAGGGTGAAAAGGTCTATATACACCTCCTAAGACAAAGGGCCTGTTAGCAGATGCCCGAACCGTACCAAGCGGAAAACACACTGATGTATGGCGAGAGTACGGGGCAAGGCAGCAGACACGTCGGCGGCAACGCTGACGCAATTTATGTGGCGCTGCGTGTCTGCACCAGTGATGACGTTTGCGTGTGGTTTGGGGCGGGGGGGGGGGGGGGGGGGGGGCTTGTTTTCCAGCTGATACTATCGTAGTGCAGTCGATTGGAGGAACCAAATGGCAGTGTACGAAGCATGCCTTCAGAATACCATGTCTCCTCTGGTTGATGAAGCCCCGTTTGTCTTGTCAGGATGCACATATGGTTGCCGTGTGTGCAAGAAGAACCCCATAACCACTCAATTGATGTGGGTAACCGACCAACCTGTACTATCGGACGCCAAAGTCCTAGCTCACGAAATGGGACACCTGTGAGTATATCACCCTATTGTTTATCGAATCCTTCGAATTTAACGGCGCAGTGGCTGCCAGGAACTTGAACTATTGCAGGAATTAACAACTGTCTCTTCTGTCAGTCTCGTAGAGGGCGGTTTCTTGTGACGTACTTCCGGATCGAGATCTCGCCAGGCGCCATGTTGATAAACTTCTGTAGTTTTTACGCTCGCTCGAGTTTGCTTTGTGCCGTGATCGGCTGTACTAGTCAGAGTGGTCGTGAACATAAAAGAACGTCGGTTGGAACTCGATTTTTCTACCTACCGGTCTCTCGAGTCAAAAAACGAGCCGGTGCTCGAAAAGTAGGCTCGTCGGCAGGCAAAAACGTGTCCCAGAAAACGCTCCCAAAAGGTACCGAAAACAACCCCCAAAATAAGTACAGTTTAAGTGTCCAAAATACCTAGCCTGTCGTACCTAGTTATGTAGTCGATGGAGCCACTCTCTATGCTTGTGCGTTGAACCATCACCAGAAATGACGCCAGCAACTAAGCGTCTGCATGCAAACTAATTGGGAAAGAGTGCCTAATGCTGTTCATCTACATGGCGGAACGCTGTTTACCAGAAATAAAAAAGCGCTTCGTCGAACCGCCCATCTAACCAAGCAGAAACCCGAAACGCGGAATTTACCAAGTTGGCGCGGCAGAAGGTGCCAAATTTTGACCACTACACAAAACATCGTTCAGAACTAACCATCAATGAAAAAGTACCTCGAACGTTGCTGCAGAAAAGGTTTTGGTTCCCATAAATCCGACAAAGGTAAACGTAAATTGAAGACGAGCCTGAAATTGGGGACACAATAAGAGGGTGAGGGTGGTGGCTTTCGCAGACTAATTAGAGGCGTAAAAAAAGGCGCAAACGGAGAGATATTTTAGGTTAGCCCAATCTACACAGTGTTGGAGACTACGCCGGTGAAGAATTCTTTACTCGCTTACACGGGTGCGCTTTGTTCTGTTTGGGCGGAAAGGGGGGAGGGGGGAGAATTTAATACTTTCCCCTCCAATTCGGTGTTCTTCGGTATCAACTTCCAATGTCGGAGAAAGAAAGCGGATTTGACCTGAATGGGACACGGGCATGAGATTCCCGAAAATTACAGGTGACGTCCGCGTCACCCCAGAAACTTGAAAAACGTTTCGGTACCGATAAACAAATAAAACGAGAGATAAGATGTGTAATTTTCAAGCAAAAAGGAGCTTCCCAGACAGTTGATTGCGCACTGTGTTCCAGATTTCCTTCACGAGTAATGCTTGCATTTTTTCTTCATATTGATAAAAATAACTTGGGTGTCTAATTTTCGGGGTTTATAGGAATGCATCGAAAGCAAAAAACCCTAATTGAAGCGTGAACTCGTAGTCAGTTACCACATGGATGGGGAACACTCAAAAAGACGGCAAACGCCGCGGTGTTGCTCTTTCGCCGCTGCGTGAATGGGCGATCTGCTTGTGACATCAGCTGGGCTCTGATTTAGGGTAAAAGAAAGTACAGACGTGCGCAGGTGTAGGGCCTCTGGAGCCACCGTCTGCTAGCGGAGTGTGATGGTTGTCTGATAGTTAAATCTTCCATGTAACTCCCAGCCTGACAAAACATGCTTTTTTTGTTTGTTTGTTGTTGTTTTTTGTTTTTTTTTGCCAGCCTGATTCAAACAAAAAATTTTCCCTTCACGGTGATCAAAACAAATCTTAAGGCATGGCTGCCTACGAGTGGAAACCAGCGTTTTCCGTGAGGTTTTGCTGCGTAAACTGTCATGCTATAAAGCGCCAAAATCTAATTTCTTCAAAAACTACATGATCATTTGATCCGAGTGCAAATTGGTAATTATCGAATGATTCCTACTTGCCAAGAAACGACAAAAGTGAAGAACGCTGCAATAATTACCCCTTCCCCTCATTTCAATGCTTAAAGGTGTTCGGGTTTTTTTCCCTTTTCTAGTAGCTTTATACTTGAACATAATCTTGAGACATTTGCGGAGAATGTGGTTCTGAGGAAAGTTCTTTCGGGTTCCATTTATATTCCGTGTCACTCTAAATGCGACCGCAGTCGACGCTATGCCGAGCGCAATTTCGTCTGTTTCTTGACACAGGGGTTGAGATGATATCTGAATTTCGATCACTTATTGGCTGATCGAAAAAAAAGCTACTGGGTAGCCCTTGAGGAATCTAGCATTGAGGTCGACCCACTATCCTTCCAATCAAGAACCAATCAGAACTCGGCGTCGTTGTGACGTCACCGCAGCCCCTGCTCAAGACGCAGACGAGCTTGCGCTCCGCATAGTATCTGATGGAGCCAATCAACCGGCGCCCAAAGTGCATGGTCATGGCGCTCGTCGTCTTCGTGCGTTTTTCGTCACCGGTGAGAACAATCACACAGAGTAAATGCGCATCGATCTTGCGATATTTGTTTTTCTGTACGTCACATAACAAACGTATGTAACTAACGTTTCAGGCTCGGAATCAATGAAGAAGGAGCGTGTCCTGGGAGTTACACACCGGGAAATGAAAAGCTCCGTTGCAAAAAGCAGGAGCACGGATACGTGTTGGGTTCCGGCAAACCACCGCACTATTTCTCGCGTTGCCTTCAAGACCAAGTGAGAGGCTGTCTGATGTAAGACCACTTCGCTCATCCTATGTACCGTGTTTTTCTTTTTATGTTGTTGTTGTTGTTCTTGCTGTTTGTCTATAAGTCTATAAGTCGCTTGTCTATAAGTCAGTTCGCACCGCTTTATACATTTGTACGGCCCGCACGGCGACACTGTACTGAAAATCCCGCACTTGTGTATTATGATGGCGGTATATGTGTAATCGAAAGCAAGTTTTAGTATGCTCGTAAATGATTCGAACAGGAAATATATTACCGTGGCAAATATCCGTAGTTAAGGTCCATTCTTATAGAAACAAAATGTATGTAAGTTTATTTCAACTAAAGCAACGGAAATAATACCACTAAATATAAAATGACAGTGCCTTATGCAGCTCAAAACACGGTATAATGATTTTAAATTTCTCTGTAGATTGGTGCTAGTGTCAGTAACAACTGAAAGGATATTACGGTAAAATCTCGTCTTTCATAAAACAATATAAATTATAGTGTCCTTGCTTTCTGGAATATCAATCGCAGATTATCCGAATTTTCAGTTTTCGTCCACAGATGCGGTAATTTAATTTTAGAGAGAACCGAACTTCTCAGATTGCAGCCGCAAAACACACACGGGATCATTCCATGCCAGAGGAGACGCGGCAATTTTATCATGTCTGGGATATGTAATAAAAACATAGTTTGTAAAAGAAAACCCCTATACTCTAAGAAAAAAGTTTCTTTTTTTTGTGAAAAAATAAATATTATTTTAGAGAAATTATTTACTGAATTTCTAGAATACGCATAAAAACCATGCAGTTAAAAAAATAAGAAAAACATACTAATATAAAACCGGTTGCCTACTGCACAAATTTCGGTGGGCGACTATTTACTTAGTAAAATTGCCTATCTTACACTAAGATACAAACGTTGAAAGACGCCATTTTCATTCCAGACAGGTCCTCCAAAACCTAGAGACTTTATAACTATTTTTTTTCAGTTAACTTGGATTTAATATTATATTTTTAATAAATAATAATAACAATAATATTTTTCGCCCTATTCTTCTAAAACTAATAATTCAAATTTTTGTATTAAATTTTCAAAGCCTCGTTTTGTTGCGTTCTAATTAAATTACAGAATCTCCAGTTTATGCGGAAAAGGCCCCATTGAGAGCCAGAAAAACCAATATGGGCTGCGGTGCCCGACACTTTCGAAATAACTGAAATTTAAAACCACCTCAGATGTTCAACATTTACGATCATTTGCTAATTTCTACCGGAAATTTCTAACTGAAAAAAAAAACTGAAGCTATTAACTAGGTAAAATATTATGGCGGTGAACTCACTACTGGATCGATGGGATTGTATAATAGATCAATTTTCCAGCCCTACTCGCTTTTCATACGAGCTGAGCCGAGTTCACGCCGAAGGCTGACGCAGCCCTCGTTTCCATCACGTGATCAAAGCACGTGTCAAAACAATGGCGGCCTCGAATAACTGGCTCAGGAACCACTAGGTGGAACTCACTGTTGAGAACGGCGTATTGCAATGGCTGTGCATCTATAATGAGATGTTCGGCAGTCGAGACTCCGTGCGTTTTCTCGAACTGTCCAGCGATAACGCGCTGAAGCTCCCCTGTTACCACTTAAAATCACCAGGCGAGTAAATCTTTCTCATTTCTCAATAAGAACCCTCGAAACCAACTGTTCTGTCTTTTATTGAGCAAACAGATTACCTCATTGTTTTTATGCTCATACAATCCTCCGACTAAATGCGGCCACAAACAAAACTTAGTTGTTCTGCTTTTTGTTTGTTTGTTGTTGTTTTTGAAAAGGAAGATGGTTGAGTAACTCTATATGCTGCACTGGAGGAGCAGAGTAACGCGGCGGTCTCAGATTTTGACCTCGAAGTATTGCGGGAAGCTACCATTGCTCCCACAAGAGACGCGACGGGTGCCACCATACGGCAAACACACTGAAGCTTGACTTTATCCCCTGGAACGAGGGGCCAAATGATCAGCCCAAATTTAACTAGACTTTTTCTCCGATGTTCGCTGGAAAGCACTCGTTTTGTACAAGTATGCCTCGAGGGCACGTTTCACCCAATCTCCTCTCATTTTGGAAAGATCGCACTCTTGCGCAGTAACCAACTGGATTTTCTTTTTCAGGCAAACGAGAGAAGGGTGCTTTGACCTGACGGGGGGCAAGAAAATCTTCTAAGAGAAAACTAAGCCACCCAGATGTCAATAAAATCAGGATTTTGATTGTCCAGATTATTTATTTCGTGTAACAGAATTTTATGTCTCATACTAGAACGCTTCAATGCCTTATTTTATCTTCCTTTTTTTTTAGAGAGGGTATACACGGCGTTTGATTTTGTTCAAACACACACACATATATGCAGGGTGTTTTTCTTTAGGATTTAGATTTGTTTTAAAACAAAGGCCGTGAAAGTTACACTTAAGCGGTTTGTGCAGGTGAGTTTTACGGCCAGTGGGGCATTATGTGGGTGTCTAGTCTTTGCGATAAGTTGGCTAATTAATTAAAATTTGTTAATTAAATTTTTAATAAATGAAAATAGACATATGGTTTCAATTCGAAACTTACTGAGCGTCATCGAAAACCTCTAAATCAACTCCTTTGAGAACGACTTGAAGCTCATGGGAAACTCGGGGGCGCGCCAAGGTTAGCACTCGTGGTAACCTTAGCGGTGGCGGAACGCGATGATAATCTTATCATCAGTGAACGAAAGGTCGCTGGTTTGACGCCAGCCGAGGAACAAAAGCGAAATTTTTTTTCGGAGGAATATTAAAATTCGCAGATGTCACGTAAAGGTTTTGGTAAATTTCCTGTCGCCGGTTTTTGTACCTTTCCCGTCCCCGACGTGTTTTCGCCCAAGGACTTTGAAGGTCGACTGAACGATGAGACATGAAGGCTTTCACCTTAATAATATGCCCTGCAACTCCTTCCGCTTTATGTGGTACCCGTATATGCAATAAAGGTTTAATAAGTAATTATGACGAAGGCGTTTCACTCGTGCCTTCATAATAGATTCAGAGGATTAGGAAGCACAAGCACAAACAAAAATCGTCACGCGGAGCGTATAGTGTGGACTACGGCCGGGCGTCGGCCAGGTGAGGCGTAGGGCAATGAGGCAAGGGCGGGGCAAGTAGCAGTTCAATAGAAGTTTAATTAACGGGAGTATAAGAAAAGGAATGAGGCACTGACGCGCCGCATGGTTCGGTCGCGCCAAAACACAGAAGCCGGCTGGGACACTTGTTCGGCCAGGCTTGACAGCAAGGATGAAAAGAAGGGCGGGCCGTGGTAGGTGGCGCTAGTAGGTTGCTCACAATAGTACTCTGTCATGAAACACATTTATATTTGTTATAACTTGCAGAAGCATCTACAAGGAGTTTTTTTTTAGATAAAATGATGAACCGACAAAGAAGGATTCGAAGCAATGGAAACGTAAATTTCATTACTTACACGAAGTCGGCGTGAGCTCGACGAGACTCTTCACTCAGATTGCTTCGGTTTGTTATAAACCGAAGAACGAATCTTCTCTTCTATAACATTACAGACAAACTAAATCACTCATAATCTACACTGGAAGATAAAGTGCTCGACCTCTGCAGAAATAAACTTGGTCTGACCGTAGCGGCGAACGACACACGCGCGCAAAGACTATACTGCCCACAACCAGAAAGGCAAAGGCCAATTATCGTTAAGTTTTGTAAGTTTCCATCTTTCATAGGTAAACAAGATCTGTGTACTATCCAAAGGATTTAAGCTAAAAGAAAGTGGCTTTTCAGTTGGTGAAGATTTTCTAGGTTATATTAGATGTGGACGTAAACAGATTCTACAATATGAAAAGTCCTTTCAAAAGTCGTTTAAGTTGCGCTTTATTAAGCTATAGATCAGAAATAAGATTTACTGTTACGATAATGCCGAAGATTGCGTAAGATTTCCTTACAGATCGGGCAATTGATTACTGTGGGCTATCTTTGTAGATCGCCATATTCTAGTAAAACTGCGATGTATTTTTTTTTTTTTTGACATCTTGTTAAGCATAGCTATTTTTCACCTAGTGCACGGTGGAGACTAATTTTTCGGATGTTCAGGGAACGGATCGCCAACCCGTGACAGAAAAACATCTAGAATATGCAAAATGTTCTTTAATTTTATTCAAGCTGAGATCTATTATATTCGTACGTATTATTCCCGACTAGAATGGGCGAAACGATGGCAAGTACTCTAGAACTTTTTACTAACAGGCGCGACCTGATATCACCAGTCTCTTGCATTTCGGGGATTAACGACCACGAGGTTGTAGTTGCATGCGTAACCACATATACGAAACCAGAGACGAATGCACCTAGGAAACCTTTTTTTTTTTACGACTGAATAAAAAATAAAGGCATTTTGAGTAATCTCAAAATGAATTTGAGATCTCAGCTACCAAATTAATATTAAAAGTGTCCAAATTAATATTAAAAGTATCTGAAATCATTTTTTTTTAGAAATAAGATCAATTTTTTTGGTTGGTGCCACGGTGGTTGGTGCATTGGAACTTTTCAGGCTTGTTCATTCCAAGTTACGTAAAAACAACCCGTGGATAAGCAGTAGATTACTTTCCTTGCTAAACAAAACAGAAATTAAGAACCGACGTTCGTACCTGAAATATAGCAGTGTCACGTTCGACCGAGACGGACCCCGAAATCAGAGGACCCGGACGAACAGGTTACGAAATTTCACCGTATGTACATGTATTTACATAAATAAACGAAAGCGAAAGGCATCAGAAACCGTACGGTACTGTTTTGTTTTAGTCCCCTAGACCCAAGTCTCCACCCCTAGCACTCACAACCTTGAAGTGTCCCGGCTCTGGTGCGCTCTCAGGTCTCTTTCCTTGGGGACGAACATCATCTTGCCGCTCTGACGGAGGACGCCTCGTTGGTTGATCTCGGTAGATTCCCGGGAGCGGGCCACGGGTGGGCTTCCTCCGGAGCGTAGCCGAAGTCACCCCGTTGGTTAACGGTGGACTCCCGGGAGCGGGCCACGGGTGGGCTTCCTCCGGAGCGTAGCCGAAGTCGCCCCGTTGGTTAACGGTGGACTCCCGGGAGCGGGCCACGGGTGGACTTCCTCCGGAGCGTAGCCGAAGTCGCCCCGTTGGTTAACGGTGGACTCCCGGGAGCGGGCCTCGGGTGGGCTTCCTCCGGAGCGTAGCCGAAGTCGCCCCGTTGGTTAACGGTGGACTCCCGGGAGCGGGCCTCGGGTGGACTTCCTCCGGAGCATAGCCGAAGTCGCCCCGTTGGTTAACGGTGGACTCCCGGGAGCGGGCCGCGGGTGGACTTCCTCCGGAGCGTAGCCGAAGTCGCCCCGTTGGTTAACGGTGGACTCCCGGGAGCGGGCCACGGGTGGACTTCCTCCGGAGCGTAGCCGAAGTCACCCCGTTGGTTAACGGTGGACTCCCGGGAGCGGGCCTCGGGTGGGCTTCCTCCGGAGCGTAGCCGAAGTCGCCCCGTTGGTTAACGGTGGACTCCCGGGAGCGGGCCACGGGTGGACTTCCTCCGGAGCGTAGCCGAAGTCGCCCCGTTGGTTAACGGTGGACTCCCGGGAGCGGGCCTCGGGTGGGCTTCCTCCGGAGCGTAGCCGAAGTCGCCCCGTTGGTTAACGGTGGACTCCCGGGAGCGGGCCTCGGGTGGACTTCCTCCGGAGCATAGCCGAAGTCGCCCCGTTGGTTAACGGTGGACTCCCGGGAGCGGGCCGCGGGTGGACTTCCTCCGGAGCGTAGCCGAAGTCGCCCCGTTGGTTAACGGTGGACTCCCGGGAGCGGGCCACGGGTGGACTTCCTCCGGAGCGTAGCCGAAGTCGCCCCGTTGGTTAACGGTGGACTCCCGGGAGCGGGCCACGGGTGGACTTCCTCCGGAGCGTAGCCGAAGTCGCCCCGTTGGTTAACGGTGGACTCCCGGGAGCGGGCCACAGGTGGACTTCCTCCGGAGCGTAGCCGAAGTCGCCCCGTTGGTTAACGGTGGACTCCCGGGAGCGGGCCACGGGTGGGCTTCCTCCGGAGCGTAGCCGAAGTCGCCCCGTTGGTTAACGGTGGACTCCCGGGAGCGGGCCACGGGTGCACTTCCTCCGGAGCGTAGCCGAAGTCGCCCCGTTGGTTAACGGTGGACTCCCGGGAGCGGGCCACGGGTGGACTTCCTCCGGAGCGTAGCCGAAGTCGCCCCGTTGGTTAACGGTGGACTCCCGGGAGCGGGCCTCGGGTGGGCTTCCTCCGGAGCGTAGCCGAAGTCGCCCCGTTGGTTAACGGTGGACTCCCGGGAGCGGGCCTCGGGTGGACTTCCTCCGGAGCGTAGCCGAAGTCGCCCCGTTGGTTAACGGTGGACTCCCGGGAGCGGGCCACGGGTGGGCTTCCTCCGGAGCGTAGCCGAAGTCGCCCCGTTGGTTAACGGTGGACTCCCGGGAGCGGGCCACGGGTGGGCTTCCTCCGGAGCGTAGCCGAAGTCGCCCCGTTGGTTAACGGTGGACTCCCGGGAGGGGGCCACGGGTGGACTTCCTCCGGAGCGTAGCCGAAGTCGCCCCGTTGGTTAACGGTGGACTCCCGGGAGCGGGCCTCGGGTGGGCTTCCTCCGGAGCGTAGCCGAAGTCGCCCCGTTGGTTAACGGTGGACTCCCGGGAGCGGGCCACGGGTGGACTTCCTCCGGAGCGTAGCCGAAGTCGCCCCGTTGGTTAACGGTGGACTCCCGGGAGCGGGCCTCGGGTGGACTTCCTCCGGAGCGTAGCCGAAGTCGCCCCGTTGGTTAACGGTGGACTCCCGGGAGCGGGCCACGGGTGGGCTTCCTCCGGAGCGTAGCCGAAGTCGCCCCGTTGGTTAACGGTGGACTCCCGGGAGCGGGCCACGGGTGGACTTCCTCCGGAGCGTAGCCGAAGTCGCCCCGTTGGTTAACGGTGGACTCCCGGGAGCGGGCCTCGGGTGGGCTTCCTCCGGAGCGTAGCCGAAGTCGCCCCGTTGGTTAACGGTGGACTCCCGGGAGCGGGCCTCGGGTGGACTTCCTCCGGAGCGTAGCCGAAGTCGCCCCGTTGGTTAACGGTGGACTCCCGGGAGCGGGCCTCGGGTGGACTTCCTCCGGAGCGTAGCCGAAGTCGCCCCGTTGGTTAACGGTGGACTCCCGGGAGCGGGCCTCGGGTGGACTTCCTCCGGAGTGTAGCCGAAG